AAAAAAAAATAGTGGATATTTAGAAAAGCTACAACTAGGACTTCTGCCTTCATCAGGCTTGATGCCTTTTCACTGGCTTCCCACCTGCTTTGGGAAGTTATCCTCTGTTTCCAATGAAAAGTATTGAAGATCCTCTACATTCTACTCACAGACATTAGTTTGGCCCTCACACCAATCTCACAAGGTGCGAGGGCCATACTATGGGGGAAGGACATACATCCCACGTATGTGAAGCTGAAACTGGCTTACACCTCCACCCTCTGGCAACGAGGACCTGTGCTTTCTCCCAGCCTGCAGAATGCTTGGATGGTAACCATGCCTGCTCACCAACACATATATCACCTTGTTTTCTCTGGGTTGACCCATAAACAACCAGTAATATGCTGGCAACATCCCCACGGAAGGATCATGGTCCATTATACCCCTGTGAGCTAAGATCAAACCGAACCAGAGGGACAGAAGTGTTGATCCTCACCTCACCAAAAAGGTGCATGGAAAGGCTCTCTATTCCAGCCAAACTGGTCTGGTCTCTGCACTGATTCCCATTTAAAAAAACGAAAACAAACAAAAAACTGGCATTTCCCTACATTTCTCCCTTCTGACTGCCCACACTGTTCTTCTTAATACCCCCTTTCCCTTCCCTTACAGGCCAGAATTCTGCCCATTCAAGAGTCACCTCTATATGGGGTCACTCTAGCCACCCACGTAATGTCCCAACACCTTAAGTTTATTGCCTCAGTTTACCTCTTTACTTAGGCTGGCACACTAAAAGCAGTAAAGTGAAGATTTATCTGGACTCTGGTTCTCCCAGAAGCAGACCCTGACATGAGAATTTGTGAGAAAGTCATTTCCTCAGCAGGTAGTCCCAAGAAAGATGGAGAGGGAGGGAGCAGAACAGGAAAGTCCCAGCTTCCGCTTGCTCCCTGGCTTCTCTGAAGGAGGAGGAAAGTCTCAGAGCCTGTCTGGCCTCAAAGGGAGGGAACCAAGTTCCCCACATCCCACTGTCAGTCAGTTGCCCGGGGAGGATGTGAACTCCCTGGCACGTCTGATCTCAGCGGAGGAGGAGGGTACAGTGGCTACAGAGGCTGAGGGGCAGTGCTCTGAGGAAAGTTGTTAGGTACCAGCCTTCAGAAGCAAAGTCCACAGAGGCTGGGCACAGGACACATGGAACCTGCCAAAAAGATCTGGGGGAGGGGGGGCACCCACCATATCTGCCACAAGGTCAAGGCAGGGCTGGCTTCATGAGCGTGCAACACATAGAGCTGCACAAGGCCTTGCCCACAGAAGGGCTCCACGCTTGGGACTTAATACTCTGCAGGCCCCACCTTGACAGTTCGCAGTTTCACTTCTGACTGTGTGTTTTGTAAAGTGAAGTCCCGTGGGACAACAGAGCATGTTTAGGACACCTGGAACCTTGGTTCATGTGTAGCCCCACTTCCCAGCTCCCTGGGGCTAATTCTTAGCCACCAGCTCAGCTGCTTGCCTGTGCCCAAACCTACCGTCCCCCAAAACTCCTAGCTTTGAAAACCAACAGGGCTGAGACCCATGAGGCTGTAATGATCTGACAAGCAGTTCTTGGAGGGCTTGAGAGGATGCAACTGCCTCAGGGCCCAGTTCAAGGGGCAGCCTTGGTGCCCAGATTAAGTAAAAGCAGCTCATTTCCTTATAATAAAGCATTGCCCTGAGGGCAATTTAGGACAGCCCCATTTAGGAGCCTGCTGGAACATTCTCCAGGGTGGAAACAGGTGAGCACCACCTTCCTGCTTTCCCTCCGCTTTGCTCCAGGCAAGAGGCACCAGCCCCTCCTCCTCTCCCCCACACTACCTTTATGCTCCCCCTTTGCTGCACTCCGACTGGCAAGGACTATCTTCACACACTGCTGCCACTGTGATCCTGAGCACCAGTATCCCCCATAAGGGACTTTCAACATGTGTTGGTGCCCTGGTTTTTGTGGCCATTGCCCAGAGGATGCCTTCTGATTGCTAGCTCTAAAGCCTGGTGGGGTCTGTGCTCCTGAGTCCCACGAACTGTAATCAGGTCATTCTAGGTGGGCCAACATCCCAGAGATACAGCACTGACAGCAGCCTGAAACATACCCCCATCCTCCTCAGAAAGAGTCTTGTCCAGGAGCGTTTGGCCTGGGAGCAGGCTCCCAGTATGGCACACTTCAAAGGGCCTGTGGAGGTGTCGGGGAATGAAGGATGGTGGATGAAGTCTTTGAGCTCTCCCCTCACTACAGCTCACCAGTACCTCCCCCAAAGGAGCTTATACCTTTGTCTTAGGTTACCTAACAATCATTACCCCTCAACAGGGTGATCACCCTTGTATGGCTCCCCATTATCTATGGGGACTTTAGTCCAAACTTTCTCCCATTACATATGGAGACTTTCAGTCTAAGTGACATCAAAACTTTGACACAATGTGGCTTCCACTACCTCTTACCACCATCCTTCCCTGCCCTCCTGAACTCCTTAGCCTCTTGCCTGCACACTTTGTATGCGTACCACTTACCTACTAACCTGTACTTACCAAAATCACACCAACCTCGTTCTCGAATGCTCTTCTTCCCATCCATTTAGTTTGTCAAATACTTACTTTTTCTTTATACAATCATCATCCTTTCTGAAGCCTCTACCACATCCCTTAGAAGTGACCACTATTGCTTTTTCCCCTAAACACACATTTCTGATATTTCGTTTATAATATATTTGTCCATATGCTGCACTAAATTATGTGACCTTTTATAAAAATACTATGCTATTCACCTTAACATTCCCAGTGTCTAACATATTTCCTGAATAAAATAAACACAAAATAACCTTCAGTTTTTAAACTAATTACCTTGTTTGATGCCCTAAATATGATGGATGAATGTGGTTTTCTATGAGCTAAGACTACCAGAAGATAGGTAAGAAAGACACTAACGAGTGATCCTTGGGGAATAAACATACCCACTTTGTACAAAGTAAATTCTTAACGCAAAGTAAATTCATTAGTGTGATTAACAGCAACAAGATCTCATCTAGCTGAATGTTTTCTTGGAGCTACAACCTCTAAATCCCAAGGCATTTTGTACAGTCGATTAATTCTAAGTAGATTTTCAAAAGTACAAAGAGCTTTCTTACCTGTGTTCCAGTTCTCGAATGGACAGTATCACTCCTGAAGTCGATGACTTCTGCCGTACAGTAGCCAAAAAGGTGAATTCACTCTTATTCCGGAACAGCTGAATTAATTTCTCACTCACATGAGGGGCTGCATAGATCTCTCTTTCTGTATCTAGGAGTCAGGAGGGAAGAGCAGGAGAAACCAGAGGGGAGAAAGAGGCGAGAACAAGGAGAAGGAAAGAGAAAAAATGTAGGAGGAAAAAGGGAACATGAGAAGAAGAGGAGAGAAGAGATGCAGTTTAAACTACCATGTCCAAAGGCTCCAGGTGGCATTTTTCATTCCCCCCTCCCACCAATAGTTTTCCTTTTCAGGAGCCATCTAGCTGCATTCATTCAGTGCAAAACCCGGAAATGCTATCTCTGTCACCATGACCACTTGTCACTTTGACAAGTTTACAATTGGCCAGCCAGTGATTTTTCTGACAGGAGTTTTGATGGGACACTGAGCAATTTGGCCCAGTACAGATTAAGATGCTATAAATAAGGTGAGAAGCAGTCATAAATGGGATCGGAAATTCAGAGAATCCTGAGTCTAGTAGGATCCAAATGCTGCTCAGCAGGCTCTAATTTCACTTTTCCCATGGACTTGATTTCTTTCTCTCTACAATGCATGTAGGGAAACCTGTCTTTGCCTTGTGCCCAGCAGAGATTTACTAGCACTAATAATACCAGACAATTCTGCTTTTGCTTAAAGAATACAAGGCATGATCTCTAAGTGTGCCTGGAATTTTCCTGTTAACAGTGGATAACTTCCCTCATGAAATATTTATTAAAGCTGAGGCAAATTCAGCAGACCTACAGGTGTGTGAGTCCACCTACTACTGCTCCCAGACAGGAATCTTTCTGCAACATTCACATAAGGAGACATCCATCATTTTATACTCAGACTCATCCTTACTGTGATACACTGGGTGTTCTCTCATCTTACACTACACTTCTCAGCTCCCAAGGTGGGCACTAAGGGAGTAGAGGTAGAGAAACCTATTCGGGCAACAACAAATGAACACCAAAGGCACGTTTGGTGGCTTCTTCATGCCCCACCCACATTCTCTGTCTAATAATCACTTGATTATTAGATCCTGTACAAGGCTTTTTAGGAATCTTTGCAAAACACAGAACTTCAAAGGCTATGTTAGTCAAGCAACATCACAGACTTGCATACGGACCTCAAAGAACCTCATCTTAAAGCACAGCTTCTAACAAGAAAAAAATCTTGAGTTTCTTGACCTTGGGCTCAATGTTCTCATATGCAAAATGAGGGAGCAGACTAGGTGATTTCTCAGGACCCCCAGCCTTCTGCGACCTATGAATTGCTGTTTCAAGTGGGCAGTACAGAAAGAACACCAGTCTTCCAGCTGCAGGAGTCTCGACCACCAGATGGCAGGACACAAGGCTGGTCCCCTCCCAAGGACGCAGCCTTTTGGGCAGAGCACCTGCCAACAAAACACCTACCAGGAGGATGTTTGCTTTTCTAGCCAAAGAAAGGCCATCACTCCTTTACTATGAAGTGATATGCTGTAAACTGTTACCGAAAGCTGAGATAAGAGACAGTCACTAAGGGAATGCTTCTACACCTTCTACAAAACCCCAGCTGAAGACATTTCAGGATGATATTCAAGACCTGTTGAATGGATAAACAAATCATTTTTACAAACTGTAGCTCATTAGGAAATGTTTGCTAACATTTTCATTGGCTTTCATGATTAATTTTTATGTTTCTTTCCTTTTTGCCATTTCCTTTTCTCATCAATTAGGAATCAACTGATTGCTAGTGCCTTCATAGATGGCTCTGAAGCTTGGGCCCAAGGAAAAGAGGCCCATGATCAAATCAGCAATGCCTGCTGGGGGAATCAGATACGAATATCACTGTGGGTATCCTCACCTCTCAATTCTCCCCAAGTATCATCCAACCCCATGGCCAATGATCCTCAAATTTATATCCACAATCCCAACCTCTCCCTTAAGCAATGTATATTCAATATCCTTAATATCTCTGTATGACTGTCTAGTAGGCATTTCAAGTTGTATATGCCCATATCAGAGCTCTTATTTTCTCCTCCAACTATCCATTTTCTCCTAGAGTTTCCAGGCCTAATAAATGGAACTACCTAGTTTCTCAAGCCAAAAAAACTGAAAAAGTTGTCCTTTATTTTCCCCTTCCTTCTATCCCCCATATCCAATTCAACAGCAAAAACACAAGGACTCCATGTCAGGGATCTGTCCCTTTCCTGCAACTCCACTCTTAAAACTCTCATCTAAGCTGCTATCCTCTCTCCCTCAGGCACCTCCACTGGCTTCCAAAGGTCTCCCTGTTTCCGTAACATCTTCTGTTGTCCATTCTCCGCATGGAGCCAGAGTTCTCTTCTTGAAAGCCTAAGTTAGAATCATTTCAGTCTCTTGCTTAAAGCCCTCCAATGGCTTCCCAGTGTTCCCAGGATAAATTCCAGCTCTTTACTATGGCGCACAAGGTCACCCACAAACTGACTCTTACTTTTCTGCCCTCTCCCACTTTTACCCATTTGGTTGCCAGAGCACCCCAAGCCCACTCCTGCCTCAGAGTCTTTGTATTCTTCCTGCTGCCCACAGCACTCAACTCCCGCTCTTCAAAGGACTGGCTCCTCCACCCTCAGCCCGCCCATCAAAAGCAACCTCCTGGGCACTCCCGCCAAAGCTTAATGTCTCATACACCACTCTGGTTACTTTCTCCACACCGCTTATCATAATATGTTATTGTAACCAGTTTTATTTCCTTGTATCACCTATCATAATCTTGTTTCATATTTCTTACTTTATTCCCTTTCTTTCTCCACTAGACTCTAATTTACATGAGGGCAGGATATCTATTATTCATTGTTGTAGTTCTCAGAGCCTGGCATAGTGGAGGCCAAATAGCTATGCAATAAAAACTTATAATTTTCCATTTATTTTTTATTATTTATATTATTACTTCAAGTAACCGCAAGTATTACATCCAGAAAATGGAATGATACCATTTGAAAAAGGAGATAAATGAGTACTTCAAGTGTCAGTGGCTATCAAATCAAAATAATGTTCCATGCTAATTCCAAGCCTCTCCTGTTTATCGGACAACTCATCTAACAGTCTAATTCAATCCAACCACACTTCTGCTCACTCAACCCTCCGAGAAAACTGAACATTTCTGTTTTTTTTCTCAAGGTATCATTGATATACACTGTTATAAAGGTTTCACATGAGCATCATTGGAAAACTGAACATTTCTTTTGCCAACCTTTCTCATTTCTCTTTGTAAATGATTGGCACATAGAAGTAAAGAGACCCCATCAGCACTCACTGGAGTGAAATGTAAAAAGATCTATTTTGATCCATTGACACATTATGTGCAGTCTCATTTTCAGAAACATTCTTTCAAGTGAAATGTTTACCATAATTCAGCTACTAAAAGAACTCAAGAAAGTAATCTCTCTTCTTATAACATAGAGGCAAGAACACTGGAGATTTCAAGAGACAGACTACTACTGAGTTTTACAGGTAACTAGCCATGTGGCCTCAGATAAGACACTACCTCTCTGAGCCTCACATGCCACATTTGAAAATTGGGAGGATGGAACTCCATGAGCTTCAAGTTCTCTCCTAGACAGTTTATTTCTGTTTACCCTGCTCCTAGCTGCCCACCAAAAGAGGATACTGAGGGTGTCTTTCATCTGCAGAGCACCTATTCTACAATTTTTCCTCCCCTGATTTTCCAAAGCAACATCAAGTTGTCAATTACTGAAAACAGTGACATGTCACCCCCTTTGCAGTAGCCTACTTTTTCTGGAACTTAAAAGAACCACCAATGAAAACCAGTTAATGAGAACCTTTAGTGAATATTATACTTCCATATGCAACTACTATAATGTTTGCTGTATTATTTGAGAATATCCAATTCTGCTGGAGAGAAGAGAAGCAAGGGGGATGGATAATGCTCATAGGAAGTGTTAAGTGTAGATAGCAAGTTGGAAACCTGTGAAACACGTTAAACATAAATCAAATAAGTTGAACATAGTATGCTGAACATAAATAAAAAGGATTAGAGTTACTTATAAGAAGGGGGTAGAACAACCCAGTCATAATATACATATCATACCGCCTTCAGAATGACAGCTATGTCATGCTTAAATGTGACAACTATCGTCGACACCCATTCCATTCCCATTCCAGTCCCACATGCATTCTCCCTGAGAAATGCTAATAAAATCTGTCACTACTCATTAAATTGGCTGGTCTCTCCCACACAGGGAGCATATTGGCTCCAGGCATCACCCATCTGCTGAACTCCTGTTTTCTAATCTCAGCTCCAGTCCATGCAAGCAGAGCATCATTGAGGAAGCTGATCGGGCTGAGACTGAGTGTATGAACGATGCATCATGCAGGAATCCGGTGTGGTGGCCCATCCATCCCTACCACGCCTGCACTCTGTTCTACTCCATCTCTTTCCCCAGCTTCCTCCTGAATAGTTTTATGTAATAGGCCACATGATGCAAGCATCTGAATTTGGACTTTCTGTGAGGTGTTCTGTGACCTCTGGGAGTATACTTGGAGGCTACCATTGTATGACGGTCACCTGCCACACAACAACCACTTACACTGAAAGAATGTCATTCAAATACTCAGAGATTACGTAAGAAGTACTGACTCAGCAAGGGTTAAGTGCTTTTTCTTTCCTAGGATGAAAGGGCTCTCCCTAGTCATTTTTAAAGAAAGACTAAAAATGCTAATGTGGTGATTAAGCATCAGTTTAAAAGTGTTGGTTGAAGGGAAGAGAGTGGAGAAGAAATTAAATGAAATTCACACTCTTCTCTAATTCAGGAGCAATTTTATTTCCCTCTTCCCTGACTTACAGGATGAGGAGGATGATGATTTTCATTGCCAACAAACATCCCTGTGTTTCATTTGTGCCAGGCACTGTGCTGGGCATCAGGGAAACAAGAACAAAAGTACAGTTTCTGCCTTCAAGGATAGATGCACAAGGAAAACAGCTACGTAGTGACATCAGGTAGAGTGGAGCAATGCACAAAGGAGGAAAGGCCCACGGAGGCTGGGAATGACAGTGCAGAATGTATCACTGAGGCCGATCAAAAAAGATGAATA